AAGTTCCTTTATTTGCTTACACCTTATAGACAGAATCTTGCCAGACTAAATCTATACTACTTGACTTAGTGTCAGGCCCAGCCCAAGAACATCAATGAAAGAGTCCAATCAAGTAAAGTTCCTTTATTTGCTTACACCTTATAGACAGAATCTTGCCAGACTAAATCTATACTACTGCAACCAGTGGAGATACCCTGGGAGATTCTAGGGAGTGGCTATCCTGAAACTTTTTTGCTTCCCACACTCCCCCTGCGGACTGTATTGTCTCTTGTCTCCTTTCCCCTGCTGGAATGCACCCTCTCCTTCCTGATAGCCTTGATCTCCCACATCACTCTCCTCCTCATAGATGCATTCCATCACACTAAGCCATCTTAACTCTTTTCTGCCTGGTTCTTTAGTTCCGTCTAATGTCCATTTGTAACCTTCATCAAGCCTCAGTTCCTCATATGGGTTTAGTTTCATTCCAGTTGTTTCCCACAATTATACTCTTGTTTTTCAAATCTTACAGCAAAAATAACCAATATTCTAAATCTCTCTGATTTCCCAATCTGTTTAAAACTTTCTTAAATCAAAATCCTTTTTTTTTTTTTTTTGCTTTTTGCCAATTGTATATTATTTTAAATTCTTAAGTCTCCATTTAAAATTTGTTAAATCCGAAGAATAAGGTACCAGGTGTCAAACTGAGCTCGCTGTTTTGAATGTCCCTAATATCCATAAAGTGGTTAAATTGAACATTTCCGAATGTGATTAGAAAGTGAGTTCAGCTGGCTTTATGTCCTTATGAAAGCCTGTGCCACTGCTAAAAGCAAAGATACCATCTCCCTTGGCTCCTGGCACTCAAACCTATGTTTCACGGTCTCCATGTAAGGAGCTGCCATTCAGAGCACTTGTGGATGATCTCCCATTCTCCTCTGGAGAGATTGAAAGGGCCGGTCTACTCATCAGTCCTTCATTCTACACAGCAGTTGTCATCTCTGCTCATTGCAGAGACATCTTTAGTCAGTCATGACTCACAGCAGAAGCCTTTTTTTTTTTTTTTTTCTTCAGTGGAATATGAGTACCATCACAGCTTGCAAAGTTAGTTGAATGCAAATCTTCAGAGCCCCAGATGCTTTAATAATGTACCATCGGAGCTCCCACTAACTATTGTAAGCTGAACGTCAAGGCCATTCACTATTGTAATTAGAAACAGAATTTGGCACCTCAGTAGCTCAGCTTTCTGAGTAGTCCTGATCTCTGAGCATCATTCTTTACAACCTGTGAATGACTTCAGTTGTAGTAGTTGCAGGAGTACCAAAAAAGACAGAAAGGCTATACCAACTCCAGAGGGCATGTGGGTTTGTACCATGCAAAAAAGCTTTTGAACATTGTACAAAGCGAATGGCAGCTAGGATAGCTGGTAAGCCCAGGTAAAAAATCAACCTCCCAATCGGGCCTACAACCCTGTGCATCCATGTACAAACCAGGTATGGTTCTTCTCAGCTTCTTCAACAGCATACTCCCAGTATTTAGTGAATTCACCTGCTGAGAATCAGTAACAAAAGAATCCTTCAATTTAAAAGAAAAAAGAAAAACACCTTGGCATGACATACCTTTCTGTTTAAATTGTGGTTAAAGTTGGGTTTCAGTCTCAAAAAATTAAGCTCCAAAGATAATGAAAAACTGGCACAGTAATGTGCCTCTTTCTCTGCTGAAACAGAGTTTTAAATACAATTACTGCTTTGCCACAGTTTAAATCTCTGTCTCCGAGGCACCAGGTTAAATCTGTTTTCCATTATCTCCTGCACACATTGATGGCATAACCCTAAGTGCAGAAATAGCCAAATGTAGAAGCTTGTTTTCATCACAGACAGTTGACTCCAGCGTATTGAACGTATACAGCAAGAATGTCTTTTGGTGCCCTCGTAACCTGGGAAGTTTTAGGTTTTGATGAATTTCAAGAAAGTGGCAAGTTACAATGGAGTACATGTGAAAAATAAATAACACAACTAGGAAAACTGAAAAGTGAAAAACTGAACAGAAAAAAAGGGCCTAACATTTGTATGGGGGAAATGCTTGGAGGGCTGTCTCGCATACAGTTGGGGACAAATAGCCTCTGGAAATTCTCCACCAAATTGGATGGACGAGTCCTCTGAGTTTTTTCAGGGCAACCAGACTTTTGCTAATAGTTCCTCAAGGGCAGAATGATGAATGTAGCATTGCAATTGAGAATGTGAATGTACTCTTGATGTTTCCTTTGGGATGTAATGGGAGTGCAGGAAGGCAGGGAGTCTACATCCCTGGAGAGAGGGTTAGGGTTAAGGTTGGGTTGCCCAGTGAGGATTGCCCAGTGAAAGGCAGGACATTCATAAGAGCTTCTTGGCCACCTGGTAACTATAGCTGTGTGAAGCTTCAGTCTGGAGATTCAGTTTGAAGGTCATTTGATCATAGATTTCAAGAACATAAAATAGAGTCGGAAAGGGCTACTTGGGGAAAAGTGTACACAAAAATGTGTGTGGGGGTGAAAAGAATGCACTTGGGAAAAAATAGGAATGCTGTCCCAGGATCATTGAGATTGTCGAATCCAACATGCTGCTTGATGCAGGAATTACGTTTGAAACATTGCCTTTCCCCAAACCCTTTCCAATTTGTGTCAGTATGATCCTTTGTACTTGAATATAGTGGGGAGGCCGCTGAGTTCAACTATAAACCCATGCCAAATTAAAGCATCTTTGACAGATAGTTCTCCAGCCTCTACTGGATAAGGGCTCTATACAAGCCCTTATCCAGCCCTCTGCAATGATAACAAGTCTTCGCTTTCTTTGATACGTCAACTTTCACGTGATCACATATCAAATCTTTCAGTCTCTTTTCACAAAGCTTAATTTCTAGTTCCCTGGTCACCCTTATTGCCTATTTTCTATATTGTTCCAATTCCTCTGAATCTTTCTTAAAGTGTGGCATCCAGAACTGAACACAGGATTTGATGTAACATCTCATCAAAGCAGAATAAAGTTGAAGTGAAACAATCCCTTCCCATTAATTAGAATTATGCTTCTGTTGATCCAACTTAAAATTGCAGTTCTCTTTTTTGCATCTTTATTGCATCACTGACTCATGTCCATCTTGTAATTAATCATTGTTCCACCGAATTGGCCTTTTGAAGTGAATCAGTGATTTAGATCCAGTTGTCAGATGGACTTTCCGAATTGAATCAACCCAATTAGATACTCTGATTCTAAGTATTACATCAAATGGACTCAATTTCCCTAATCTAATCACTGATTTGAGAATCAATTACTGTTTTGTATAGTGGTTGAAGGCACCAGGCTAGAAAGCAGGAGACTGTGAGTTCTAGTCCCGCTTTATGCACGAAAGCCAGCTGGGTGACCTTGGGCCAGTCACTCCTTCTCAGCCCTAGGAAGGAGGCAATGGCAATTTTAGATTTTTTTATCCCATCTTTCTAATTTTTTCTTTTATAAATAACTCAAGGCAGGGAACATACCTAATTCTCCTTCCTCCTCCTATGTTCCCCACAACAACAACCCAGGTGAGGTGAGGTGAGCTGAGAGTGACTGGCCCAAAGTCACCCAGTCGGCTTTCGTGCCTAAGGTGAGAGTAGAACTCAGTCTCCTGCTTTCTAGCCTGGTGCCTTCACCACTAGACCAAACTGGCTGTCTGAAATCTTGCCAGGAAAACTGCAGAGACTTGTCCAGGCTGTCACCAGGAGTCAAGACTCACTTGAAGGTACACCCATACACACAAAATCATTGATGCAAATTAACTCATTTGGCCATCTAAATCAAACAGAATTTGAATCAGGTTTAAGCTTACTCACGTCCCTACTGAATAAATCCAAGGACATTACATCCTAGCCAGGATGATTACTCCAAAATTCTGTCCTTTCATAGAATATCCAGCGCAAATTCTCTTTCTTTAATGGAACGAGAACTGGTAGAAAAAAAATTCATGAGAATTTTTTTCCCTGGGATTAGTTATGTATGTACCGTGACACAGTTAGACAGCTGAGTCTTAAGAGTCATTCAGTGTATTACTATATTAAGAGTCTGTTGTTTTTGCTAATATTTTTCTTTCAACAGCTATGGGACAGTTTTATTATACAGTGATATCAATCTTTTCTCTTGCCCTTTAACTTCCTACTTATCCAGCTGAAAAGAGAAAAGTGGGTTTTGTGTAATTCCAGAGAGGTTCAAGATTGTAAGAAGAGGAACATAATGGGATTATTAGAAACATTTCTCTCCTCTGTCTTGCTCTCTCTCTCTCCCCTTAAAGTAGTTTTGAAGCACCCAGATGGACACTACATCATTTTTTCAAATATCTGTTTCTCTTTCTGTGATTTTAGTTAGAATTCTCCATCAGTTTATATCTGTTTCTGTTGTCTGAAAAATATAATAAATATTTCAGAGAAGTTTGCTTGTGTATACCTCCTTTGGTTTATAAAAGAAAGCCATTTACGCAAGAGTTTGTAAAATAGGATAAAGAGCAAGTAAAAACAACATTTCATACAGTGCCCAATCCTATTTCTCCATGTCTCTTCAAAAAGTTTGATCATGTCCATGTGCGGTTAACAGAGCTGCAGCTTTATTTATTTAATAAATAAGTAAGCTGACAATCGTAGATTCCTAATTCAGACCAAATGGGAAGCTATGGAAAATTGGAGACTTTTTTGTTTTTTATGACTTCCCATGAAGGGAAGAATGAAAGGCATATGTGTACCAAAAAAAAAAAAAAAGCAAAACAAAACAAAACTCTTTCAGATGTCAGCTTATTAAACTGAGTTATGATCCTCTAAAAACAGCTATTATGAAACCCAAAGAGATTATACAATACCTTGCATTAATAGACATGCATCCTAGATTTCCATTCTCCATCATCATGAGGGGTAATTGCTCCAAAATTCCTTCTGTGATTAGAAGGTCACCTCTGAATGGGTGGAGAAATGAAGTAACACTAATACACAAAATTGCATTAGAAATCAAGAAGGGTGGCACAAAGCTTACCTTCCAAAGTATTCCGGAAGCTGAAGTTAGCCATTCTATCCATAGACCCAGTTTCATATTGGGTCAGACTTAAGCAGAATTCAACATCAGCTGATGTAGGAAGCCGAGGAGTTCTTCCTTTATCGTGATTCCCAGGATTTCGAAGGATAGGCCCTTCGTTTGTTCCATTACAAAGTTCTTGGCGGCTGTTGTACTCTTCAGATTGGCTGCAGATGACCTAGAGGATTGTACAGAAGATTATACAGAGTTGGGACCAGAACCCTGAGCAGTAAGATTGTTTTCAAAGACTTGAAGTTCCAGCCCAGATAAGGAGATCTGTGCAGATAAGCAAGCGCCTGCAAACTTCCTTCACAGGATCAGGAACTCTGAGTATAGCAGATGTATGTCCCAATACATATTTATTGATTTGTATGTAAAACAAAGGAATATCTTTCCATCAAATACAACTTTCCATGAAATAGAGGCTGTTGCTGTCAGTTGAGTTAAATGTGTACCTTTGTTTATATTCTGGTGGAATATTCTACTTAGGTATGAATGGACGCTGTCTCATTGTTTCCCATTTATTTTATCCACGTCTTAGTTAAACTTTTGAAAGGATAGGCAGCAGCAAATAAATACATCAATAAAAATAATCATTCTTGCAAAAAAAAAAAAAGTCTTAATTCAGTAATATTATGAACAGTGGAAATCTCCTGCTAATTATACACTATCCTATGTATCATTCTTCTTGAACATGCACCCTCCACACGTGTTAGATTTCAGTTACCGTTATCTCCCAACTAGCATTCCAGCTTGATTGTATGGAACTTAAAGGTGAACATTACGAAATATGAAATATAATAAATTTAGTGTACCCCAGATGAGCAAAGATTGTTAAATAAATTTACTCATTATGTTTAATGAGACTTGCTCTCAGGAAGACATGCATTTCACTGCAGTTTGGGAAGATACACATCATAGAAAAAGGGTATACGATGCAAAAATCAAGGACGAGAAATCCAAGTTGATCATTTAGGACAGTCCATAAATCATAGTTGTACACAGTATAGTTCAATGATGAGGGTATTAGACTTGGACTAAGACTTTGATAGGGAAGACTTGTGTCCAAGCCACCATTCATCCACAGAACTCCCTTTGTGATGGAAGACATGAGTGGGGAGGATTCTGGAATGGAGCTTCAAGGTTAAAGGGAGGGGGGAGAGACAGGGGAAGCAGCTCCTCAGCCCCCAGCCAGAGAGTGGGAAAGTCAAGACAAGGAGACCGGCCCCTCCCTAAGGGCATCATGGTTATAGTTGCTGTTGTTGGGGATTAGAATTAGTCTGGCGAGATTCTGTCTGTTAGGTGCAAGCTAATAAAGGAGCTGAGCTGATTCTGGATTGTCTCGCTGTTGTTCTGGGGCTGAACCTGACACCCTTCTCTCTCAGCCTAGCCTACCTCATTTTATAAAACAAGTTATTTTATAAAACAAGGGGAGACTTAATGTAAGCTTCTCTTCAGTTTTCAGAAGAAATTTGGGATTTATAAACTCCCCTATTGTTTACCCCTTCATGGATCACTGCCTTGTCGTGGCGAAGGGGCTTGCGTAACTCAGTGAAG